AAAAAAAACAAATTAGTTTGCAAATGAGTGTATATACGCTAACTTCGTGCAATTTGTTTTCAAGTAGAACATAAGGTTGACGAAAACCCGGGGACTGCGCCTACCTGATGAGCCCCAACAAGGGCGAAACCGGTCGTGGGCTGTCGATGGATTTCCAGCAAACTTATGAGTAGTATATTATAAAGAAGGTAACACCGTTGCTCAAAAAAACGAACTTTTTACAAGATTACATCACCCAGTTTTAAGATACGCGTCACTTAACCTATCCTTCCATTTCTAAAGGTCATCATTATTGGTGAACTGCAGTTTTCTTTTTGATTCAAGTTGTCCTATCGAGGACCTTTGTGTTACAACTTGAAGCTCTTAGACGACTTTGTGGGACGATGGGTGAAGCTCATCAGAATGCATGTCAGATGGAGAAAAGAAGCCAATGAAGCAAACAAGGTTGGCCACCTGAAAAAGACGCGTTCACGCACTAATTAGCAATAATGACTACCACGAAATATGGAGTGTCTGGATGCAACTCTGTTTTGGGAGAATAAACACCTTTTCGTTGAAAATGACGCGAGAAATAAAGTGACCAATCCCCTAAAGCATCCAACCAATGCATCACCTTCTCTTCCAAATGTCTAAGCACTCTGTTAGCAATGAAACTGATATTTCGTGCATGCACTTTACCAAGCTCAATTGCACACAAGCGAATGATCGTGTGGTTCTTCCAACCGCCAACCTTCCACATGAGCTATCCTAATTGGGTGGAACTAACGTCTATTCTCAGTGTAATGGGTTCGCAAGTTTTCGTCACATAGATTCACCACTAAAATCCATCTACATTCGGGACCAATGAACAGAAACTTTACGTGTTTAGTCTTTTATTGGATGCCTCCTGTTTGGACGTTGTCAGTTGTTGTATTAGAGTCCACCTGCAATTGGCTGCGCAGTGTTAAGTTGTTGATCAAAAATCTCACTCTTAAAAGAACCCATTGGCAAAAACGATTCTTCAGTCTTTACAGTCGTTGTTGATCAGTAATGACCCTGTCTTTTATAATTGTTACGGCACTTGTGCTGACAGCAATTGCTCTGGAAACGTAAGTCTTCATTGATCTGTCTTTGAGGGAATATATTTTGAGAGGCCTCATGATTGCATGGGTTACCCTGATGTTAGTGAGAATACGTTTAAAAAATACAGGACGAATATCGTCTCTCAATGAGTTCGCAATCTGGTGGCTGTTGATCTGTTTGCCGAGCTTGGCAAGTGGCGTGCAAACGTTTCGTCACCATACGAGGAGACATCATCAGTGCGCAGCTGGATGAGTATCTCCTGTTAATCTGCGTGTACTTAAACAGCATTTGAAGACTGTTTACCATAGTTGGGTAGTAGGGTGACAGTGTGCTTCGTGAATTTATTGGCCCGCCCGTGATCTTTGTTGCATTGTGGTTTGCGTTACTCCAAGTCGATTGGTCATCCCAACGCCGTTTAACTGACTCCTCCTCGATTAGGATTGCGTCGTGGTCCAATTTTCTCGACACGGATTGGCTGGCTGCACCCCTCATTCTTTCTGTTGTATCGATTAGGTCCTCGCGTCAGCTGAAACTTCGGTTTGCTGGCTGGCTCCCCCTTGAATCCAAGTGGTGTCCCTTTCAATCGGGCCTCCCTGTTTCATTTACAAGTTCCTCGTCGGGTTGCTCGTGGGATTTGGAGTTCTATGGTTCTGCCGTTTTCTTACTCTTAGTGGTTGATAAATAGAGTCAATTTTGATATGCTGGTTCACGGGTTATTCGGTGGAGTAATACGCTTCCATTGATTCACCTTCTTTCTTCGTTCTTGCATGAGCAAAGATACGAATGCTGTTCCAGTAGAAGCTGTGTCCTTCCCGATGTTTGTGCGAAGGCTCAGAGAAAATTGCTCGTGCTCGTTTGTAACGACTTCGTGTTTAATAATTATGATTGAGTAGTCTCAACGCTAGTTTACAAGAGAAAATTATCATTTTTCACAAGAAAACATTGGGAATTTTGCTTGGGTGTATTGGCCAGTCGTGTGTTAGTGCTTGACAAACGCTCTGCGCCGGGCTAAAAAATTTGAACACAGATGACTAGTTGTTTAAGCAGTCACAGAATCGTTCCGCTGATTTCGGTGCATCAGGATCTGAGGCGTTCTCATGCTTAATGATATGTTTAACAAAATGAAACTGTGAGACACTTAATTTACTGGGTGGCAAATCATGCTATTCGTGGAACGCTTTGAATTAACGTCTAATGTAGTTACCGGAGACTCCAAAGGGATTTCTAGTAGTTGTGATTCACGAAAAGCCTCTCTAGAGGTTACTTCAGTGGGAAAATTAAATAACGCCCATCTCCTTTACTTCCACACGAACTACAAAAATGCATTCAATCGATCTTCGTTGAGCTGTAGTGTTCGGAGGAATCCACGGGTAAATGTGTGTTGAACATATGAGATGCGGAAGTTTAGGTACCCCCTTATAGAAAGAGAATTGTTTTGAATTATTTCATCATCACTTTATTTGTTTGAAGGCTCATAATCTGTTGGATACTGTGACCTACTGTTGCATATTTTTCTCCAATGCCAATTCAACCAGTGTACTACTGTTCAGTAATCGGACTGGTGCGGTATGGGACAGTTTACCACATTTTCATAATATGGAGGTTTGGCTGCGTCAAATGTACACGTAGATGTACTATACGTTCCACTGTGGGTATAGAATAAGAATGAGAACTGACACCCTTGAGGAAACGCTATCAGTTGGTTGAATCCGGTGAGTGGTCCATTTAAAACCCCACCTATGACATACTGTCCAACGTCAACGGGTTGACAACATTATTTCAACACGACGCAGCGTATCGAGGTCAATCACGTCTGGAGTGAAAATTACAGATTGGCAGTGGCTTACCACTTGTACTACTGAGCCTGCCTGGCTGAGTGGATGCAGTAATCGATTAGTATTGACTGCCAATCACATTCATTAGTTGGAAATCAAACAATGCTAACCCAAACAAAGTGTAGGAGGAAAGATTTCCAAGAATTGGAAATAGCCCAGTGGCTGAGTTGTCTGACTGTTACACGAGACCATGTGGTTCCACATAAAACACCATCTAAACTCATTAGACCCCGTCACACAGTGGACCTGTGTGGGTAGGCAAACCGAGTCTAGATAGTACGGCAACCTGTTTTGGAGTGAACTTTTAACACAAATTTTGCCGGAACTTAGCCTGAACGCCTGCAACTAAGTTATAATTTTTGAGTATAAGACCAACGGCAGTCCCACTCACTCGATTTGCGAGCTTCAGAACACTATACTCAGTTCACTCAGACAAAGAAATCTACCGAGTTTCGCTCTTTCAGTACCGAGCTTGCAACCCCTCAGCGCAAAGAAAACCTTTGATGTATATCCTGGTGACTACCAAAGCACTGCCGTTTGGTGGTTTGTCAACAGATAATGATATGGGCCCGGATAGTCCAGTGAATAGCAGATAACACCTCCTCACTGAGCTTGGTTTTAATCTTGCATAAAGTTAGCTGCCGGCTTGGTCTTGAAAATTACCACGCACGATGATCCGTCAACAACGATGAAAAGGATTATTTTTTTGGTGCTTCTTTCAGGGGGCGTAAAACGCGCTTTACGTATGGCGATTTTAAATTAGTGTGCGTTGAAATAGCCGGTAATTAGGTCTCTATTTCTTCTTCAATCTTGTCCGACGGAGGACAGACAGAGTATTTTCTTTCGACATGTAGGGTGAGTTGTGATGAGGTGATTTCGTGTGGGAACCATTCTACGTTGCATCAAGCTAAACAAGTATGACGCAAGATGGTTCGAATACCAGCATATATGGTAAAGGATATTCCGCCTGCTTTAATTAGCTGAGACGATCTCGGCAAAGCCCAACAATGTTTGTACTTTTTTGTATCCAAGTAACAACTACGATTTCCGCCTGATTGCAGACACAGTTTGAATGACCAAGTTAATAATCACACGGTATCAAAACGAGAGGCAGATGAGCAACTACCAACTACTTTTCTAAAATGGGTTGATCAAGTAAGCTCCAAATTATTCCGTTTACACGGTGAACAAAAGATGTACGTTTCTACGGCTGTACACCTTGGTAGCTACAAACAAGTTTTTCAAGTCCTTTTGGATACCAATTCGGACATATCATGGGTGCCATCAACCGAAACAACTGAGCGCACATTGCAACGTAAAACACAGTACAAAAAAGGGACTTCTAAGGAGTATTCAGCGCATCCACAACCACTACTGATAGATGATGATTTCCAATCTGTCAGTGGTGACATTGCGTTCGACCGATTTCAGGTGAGCGAACTAATAGACAGGCCGTTAACCAAACCTTTTCAGATAGCTGGAGTTTGCATGAATGAATTTAAATTTGGCATTGTCACAAAGACCAAAGTTGATCCTAAATTACCAAATGGTGTGGATGGAGTTTTGGGCCTGTCGCGCAAGGTCACATATCACCAGTTTGGCCGTACACTTCTCGAATCTATGTACGAAGAGCTGGGAATTAAAGAAGAGATTTTTGCACTGACGCTGTGTCCGTAAGTGTGACTTTTCTGGTGTTTCTAGGCCTCTGATCATCTGTGGCACAGCTTAAATCATCATGATCAATAAAGTTTAGAACTTGCGTTGACTTGTGTCAGTGAATTCAATTTATTACAATACTCTTACTTTTTCTAGACACCTCAGATTTACAACACGTCAGATTATAAAACTTGAATAATCAAGCAGTTATGACATGGGGTGATGGGCGTGAGTTAAAATGCAACACGGTTTTTTTGGCGATGGTGTAAAGTACTATTGTAAAGTAATTAAGTAAAGTAATAATCTTTTAGTACCAACAAGCCGAAGTGGACATAGAACAAAATCAGTTTTTCGACCAAGTATGATTTACCGCCCACTGACGTATAGTGGAGATGTTTCCAGCTCGGATTTACTGCGAAACAATTAAACAGAAAGACTTTGCAGCTTAGATCACGGTTGTCACGTGATCACTCATTGCTCAGGTCTGGGAAAGCCAAATAGTTATGAAACACAGGTCAGAGTTGATATGCCCATGTAGCTCTAAATGTAATGTTTATCATTCTTGTTATTGCAATTACTGTGGATGTTGAATGTCGACAAGCCAAAATAGTTATGAAACACAGGTCGGAGTTGATATGCCCATGTAGCCCTAAATGTAATGTTTATCATTCTTGTCATTGCAATTACTGTGGATGTTGAATGTCGATTGAAATGTTGAACAGCCGGCCCACGCACGGTGTCCCAGCGTGCGCCCTCATGTTAATCAGGTCAGATTGTAACACTGAAGAATCTGCAAGAGCCCCGTGCTGAGGTGAAAGGACAAACTGATGGCTTTACAAAACATAATGCTTACAGAATGAGCGCACGTGCACATGAGAACCGGTAAACAGATAATCCCAGGAGTTACAATATACTTTGTTGTACTCATAACACACATTGATATGGTCGGTGAAAACAGTAATTACTTATGGCTGTGTCCAATGTTATATGAAGCAGTAGCTGACTTATATTCCAGAATCTCTGAGACATCCAGTAATTGTCTCAACATATGTTGTAAGTTCACTGGGGAAACACGCTACCAACCCCGGTGTGTTGCATGAAGTGTGCAAAAGTATGAATTTCTATTTGCAGAGCCAAATCATAATGTTTTCATTTCACTCATTTAGAATGAGAAGCTATCCCGTGATTTACTTTTCACAGATATCTCAATGCAGATTAATAAAACGCGTATTTTCAATGGATATTTGGCTAGTGAAACCACTTTGTGCACATGTACACGCTGCCCCTTATTAGTCCTGTCTATCGTTCTGGTTCGCTTATGACGGTCAAATTTTGTGTAAATGTTACAATCCAGCGTTGACAGACGTGGCGTGTCACCAATAAACTGTTTTTGATGTGGCGCAGTCATGGACTTGTTCGTCCTGTTCACCTTTTTTCTCAATTCCCCAAGTGTCCAACTGGTGCAGTTGGCTGTACACGAGGCTCAGTTCAATGAGAATTAGGGCTATTTGTTATAGGCTGGAGTGTATCGGTACGATAGACAAATACGCGAGCGGAATTCAGCCCGTCATGCGTAAATTCATCCTCCCGTTCAGGTTTTGATTTGTTCATTTGACGTGGGCAACGGTTTCATTTAGGTCGAATGAAATTCCAACGCCTTGGTGACCAAAGCGTTGTGCCCACCGCCCATTTGGGCTACGTCAGCGACGTCCTTGCTTTCAGTATTTGTCCATATTGTCAAAGTGTTGCAGTAATGTGGTCTGGGTAGATCAGCCTCAGGAACTCTATCTAGTATCCTCTAACATTTTTCATCTATCATCTTTCTTTTTTCAATTAAATCGACTGGGAAAAACGATAATGGAGCGTCGGTGTTTTTCTCTGGTGCTGCCATCACTTATGTTGCCGAGGGCTCATGCTCATAAGTTTACTCGAACACTAGAGCAAAGGGTATCAGATCCTACGAAAGAGGTTTTTATAAAGTACTTAAAAGTAGGTCCGCAAACCATCAGTCATGGCCTTACTGATTTTCAACCAATATCAACTACCACCTGAGTGAAGCAGCAAAATATGGGAGACACTTGAGCGTAGAAAATGAAGCATATATTGATTCATTAGTCTCCCGACACGTCAACCGATTCAGGAGAGATGAATACCTCTGGTTTATCCCGTCTCGGCGTAATGCACAGCGCTCGTTCCAAGTTCAGATTTGAATCGGACAACAAATTTCATCTCTGGAAACCCTCGCATAAATGTCGAATTTCAGGCTTGAAAACGAGAATTGACATCCCCTCTAACCTTTGGAATTAAAAGAGATAAGATAGAAAGCATCCGGCTTAAAGTAATCAAATTAACTATCTTGTTAGGTTCTTTCATGTCCTTAGGATGAGTTCCTTCGGCTTCTAAAATAACATCGTTCCATTGAACGGCCGGTTGTAGTTCAGAACTTTACGGCAGGACGAGAAATATATCATTCTGCATTTGTCTCGGTGTGAGGCGCAGCGCTCGGTCCCAGTTCAGATTTGAATCGGACGACGAATTTCGTCAGGGTTGATGATTCTGCTCCAGATGAGTGAATCTTCACTGGTTTATCACATGGAACTGTAGTAGATGGGATGGAAGAAAATCTTTCGGGGAATATGCAAACGATTCTTACACGGTATAGTTACATGGCAACAGGCACGGAGACTAGTTGCTTATTCACCATCGGGGTACTAGCGTTGTCTTCATTTCTTTAGGTTTCCGCACCATACCGCACTTTCCTCAGTACGGTGGAACGCTAACGCTACAATCAGCCACTCATTTGGATTCCATAAAGTCGTCATTGGATAATCTGATGGTGTCTTACTACCTCTACTGTTCCGGGTAGTTACGGTTAGCAGATCAACCGGTCGATATGCCAACATATTTCAAACCTCACTTTTTTTCGGCCATCTGGACTGCTCTAGCATAACGTGGGTTAGAAATGCATGAAAATGCATGCCTAAAATCGCGCGCGACATACTATAAGTTGCTGTTTAGTATGAACGTGCAGGCGAAGATACCGGTGACATGGCTACTATGTGCGTGTTGTAGGACAGGTGGCCTGGGAATCAGCACAACCACTAGTGCAATAATGGAAGTCACTAATGCCTCAAGATTGCATGCAGTGACCTCTGGTTTAGCCAAAATCGCTGCATCAGTTTCATCAGCCACGTTTCTTAACCTCATCTTGGGACCAAAGGTGATGAAAATCGAACACTCGGCACGTTGTATACACACGTGTCCGAAATCTTGGTACTGATGAATTCCTTTTGTTCGCCTTTTCTTCGTTTTTTATTGAAGAGGTGGTCTTCTGACTCAAAACAAAAGGCTCGGTGGCTATTCAAATTTTGTAGATTCTTGTCAGTTTTAGACAACATTACCGGTTACTCTTCAAAATAAGCTAGCTATTATTGAAGTAGACTAGAAAGTCAGACGTATAGCTGCATAAAACTCGTATATTCTATACATTTGCCGAAGTTAATTACTGGAGTGTTTTGTAATTCGGATTGGTAGCACACCCTTGACTCATAGGACCTACGTTCGGTGCTCTTTTGCAATTGCGGATCACTAAAGATGGCAACGTATTTCTTACTGGTATTCCAACCATTTCAGACGACAAAAGTCAATTAGCGGGTTTGGTTCTGCTTCTATGGTTGAATACTGTCCGCGGCGCAGTAA